CCATGTATTGGAAGCAAGCATTTAGATTAAAGGTAATTTGCTTATTAACCAATGATGCCCTTAATTCAGTAATATTGAGCCTTGAATAAATTGGCATTTGTGTGCGCTTTACAGGAGTCTTGCCCACCACTCCTTCTTCTACTAGTATTATTATTGTGATCTAGATTTGCATTCAACTATGTATGACTATTCCACGAGTAGCTATGTGGGGCAGAAGCATGTCTAAATACATTGTAATGCACAGCCATGTGTTTACCTTTAATTTGAGCATTTTTTTCTCTCCAACAGAAACTGAATTTGTGGTGCTTGATCTCTGTCCTGTGGATGGTACTGATTTGGTCGTGGAGGCTACTGATGTGGTCGAAGAGGGCGATTACAGATCCAATGCAGAGGGACAGGGAGAGCAAGGTACTTAGTGATATTGGCACTGACACAATGATTTCAAAACGTAATTATTGTAATTATTTTACTATCGTAAAATATGTATGGTCAAATTCAATTTGCTCTTGTGGCTCTGATATGTAGAATCTCAAAGCCATGATGTGGAAGTGGTGAATGGGGGAGAGCCAGCATCAAGTTCTGTGGAGGAAGCTGCACAAGGTTTGTTGCGATTCATGTAAATTCAGGGCACTAATATTTGGAATGCATCTTCTTCCACATTTGCTTCAGTATTTAAGCAGTTTTCAAAATCCACTATAATAGCAATATTTCTTAATTGCTGATGACTATCTGTATGCTCCTTTTATGACTGACACAGCATTTATATTGTTGACACTTCAACTGTACTCTAATTGTGCTCTACAAATCTGGGCCCCATATGGTGCAGGTGTCACAGAAGACAAGGAAAGCCTCTCTTTGGGAGGCACAAGGCCAGATCATGGCACAGGGAGCAAGAGGTCAAAGGTGCAGGGTGGAAAAAAATGTAGGTTTTTTAAAATAATTGTCCTGATTTCTCACATATGTTTGGGTAATGTTACCGTCTTATATGACACTGACTAATGATTTTCGACTTGATGAAGATTCGATTGTCGCAGAACATTAAAGGCAGTGAAATAGGGGTAGTGGTGGTCTAATGGATAGTGGGGTGAAGATCGGAAGGTTGTGAGTTCAAATCCCGCCAGGAACACCACCACTAGTGTGCCCTTGAGTAAGGCACTTAGCTCTTAGTTACTTCACAAGAAAAATGGCTCGACATTAACGATGGCCCGGGGCCATCTAGTATTTAGCTCGGGCAATGAAGCCTCACCTGCTGGTTGCCCGATCGGGCAATCTATTATGCCAGTATCATGCAGCTGGCGGATCCAGTAATGAGTGACCCGACAGTAAAACTAAACATATCTATAACTAGTTTAGGTAGTTTGAGAGGTAATTAAAATAACTACGTGTGATATTCTAACCTGAAGTGTGTGTTTTGTCTGCTCACCGCTGCATGTGATTATGCAGAGCTGCGTGTCGACTCGTCAGCAGCAGCTGATCTCTCTCTCCCGTCAGATTAGACTTCACTCGCGTTTATGTCCATATCGATCAGATCCAGCTAGTTCTAGCTAATGATAGGACTACCTGCTTATTAAAAGACACCTAAACAATAAGTGTCGCTATGCAACTGGGTGAGGCCACAAAGTATAGCGCAGCATTATGCATTTGTTTCCATGCCCACCGGAACCCCGAGGCATTACCAACAGATCAACGCACAATCAACCCACACAGGACATCTCTTTCTCCACATTATGTGTTAGACATTAGAATTGACTATTCTTGTCTGTCACATACTCTTCTTGTCTGTCACATAAGTGGCGCAACTGAAGCGGTATTGCGCTAAAGGGAAATTATTTTGACCGAAGATATTTAGATTTGCCGGCTAACGGGAACTCTGACGTCGCCATTTTGTGTGCTTCGCGGATGCGCTCGGCTCCTCTCGACTGCTGCTCGGGTCTGCTCGGTCAGCTTCCGGATGAGAAGGCATTCGTTCGACCAACTTACAGTAGATAACATTACAAACATTTTTAACAGGGGCCATAATAGTGTAAATAATGTTTGTTTTGGCAGTTATAACTGAATCAGAAGTCGCGTTAACCGAATATTTTCCGTCTATGACCGATTTTTTTTTAACAATGACGGACAAATCTGAAAGCAGTCCGTCATTTTGACGGATTAGAACAAACTCGGAACAGCGCCAAAGTTTCCCCGCAGCGAGGCTCCGGTGTTATGCATGCCCTCTAAAAAGGAAATCATACCGTTTCCAAACCTAACTGTGCCGTACAAATCATTGAAATGTCTGAGTTTTGGCTTTACGCTGTGCACGCTCCCGCGAGGTGCAGCAGCCATGCATAACACGGCGCATGTGAACTGTCCCCCCCCTCGTCAGAGTTGTGTAAAGGCCGACGGGTAATTCTGGATTTTGACGGAAGTTTTACGATCCTGTCCGTCAAAATGACGGGCAGCAAAAAAGTCTAGCGCAACCTCTTAACTGAATGTAATGTTTTCTACTTTTTTACGGCATTTGCCTTCATCAGATGGAAAGTGTCTTGACCAACAACTTAAGTATTTCTTATAGCTATGCAGGGCATGCAAGCGAGCAAACACAAACAAGAACAAACAAACAAGTGAAATTAAGAATAAAATTGAAATTGTACAATATAATATTGTGGTGGTTCATCTTATAATTCAGTCTAGAGAATGCACCAGACAGCATCTAAGACCTGCAAAAATCTAAATTTTCTAGGGGGAGGCTCCCCCAAACCCTTCGTGCCATTTCATCCACCCGTATTTTTCAGGGAAATCTCTATTGGGCTCAGGGCCATCTGAAAATTAGCTTAGATGGCCCACAGGGCCATCTCCCAAAATCCTTAATGTCATGCACTGGGGAGAATGTCCCTGTAATTGTTGGTCATTGTAAGTCGCTTTGGATAAAAGCATCAGCTAAATGAAATGTAATGAAATGAAATGACATAAGTCTGAAATAAGTCTTGCCAGTGTTAGTTAGTTGACAGTGTGCATTAGGATGTGGCTTTATCTCCTACATGCCTGTCTGTCTGCCTAGGTATATTAAATAATACGTTGTTAAAATCCACTGAGATATTTTGCTTTTACATTTCTAACTCTAGATTTACATTTAATCAATGATACAGCACACACTTTTGACACTTACCCTACAAAACTTTGCTCTCTCAGGTGTAGCTGTCTCAAAAAACCCTGACTCTGGGAGACTTCAACAAGGATGGGAGCATGAGCTCAAAGAGACGAGGCAAAAGAAAACCTCAAAATACAGGTATGTTTTGAGAATCAATTTAATTTAAATTTAACCTGAATTAAAAATATATTTGTTAAACATTTTATAATTTAACTATGCATTTATTAAACCAACACGGGTTGAGAAAGGTGGTTTAATATTTGTATATTTTTTAAAACAAAAACATGCACATAAATGATCTATCTCCATGTTCTTTGAAAGACATTGTGTCTTCTCAAAAGTGTAGTCTGACTGTGAGAACTCTTTATAATGCAGTGTAATATAGAATGTGAATTATTACAAAACCTTTTTGTAATAATTATGTGGAGTTGGATATTTACCATGTGTGTTACACATATAATTGTGAAAGTGGAAAAATTGTCTTGCAAACCAGAATCAGAAATATTTTATTGGGTTACATTACAGTTGCTCCCTTTTACAATAAATACATAAATATAGAAACATAGAAAAGTTACAAGAAACATAGGAAATAAGAATTAAGTATGTGAGAATGTGGGCATTGTACTACAATATATAGCAACAAATAACAACAATACATATGGAAAAATACAGATAAGAAATATGTATATTGTAAATATATAATAGTGTAATAATAATAATAATGCTGAAAACGGGATTCCTGAGGGATTTAAATGGCCAGACCCGAAAATAAACCCATTCATTCATTCATAGCTAAGGTGTGTTACACTGACACTACAATTCCCTGTATAAAATGACATTAAAACAAAGGATGTCTTAAACAAGTCATGTGTTTAACCATTTCACTTACAATAATGACAAACTATCACCATTTTGTATTTACATAGGTAAAGAATGTGAAGAATGCTCCGACAGATCCACTACAGGGTCGTTTATTTTTTCTAAAGTAATACGACGGACAGAAGACCAAGTAAGTTTCAGCTAACAGCTCTTTATGATATCATTTATTATCTCACATAATCTTGAATTTAATGTTAGATTTTACAAAAGCTCTTTGGAAAGTGCAAGGAATAAGTTGGTCTGAATACATTCACTTTTAACCCTTCTGGAAACTCATCACCTGGTGAAACCTCAGGTGGTCACTTTTGAACCCCTGGAATAATATCTTATTATAATAATATCTGGATCTTGTGTTCCTATAGCCCTTTACTGATGCTCCACACAACTGATGTCATAACATGTTTATTTTAAATATGCATGTGTTCATTTTAGAGTGCATTCTTATAGAACTGACTAGTATAATAGAGTTAGAAAATACAGGAAATTAACAAAAGGAACTAATTGCCACTTGATGTCAATATTTCAACATTGGCTTTGCTTGGAACAAACAATATAGTTTATCTTATTTGAATAGTACTATGATGTACACAACAATTTGTCCACTGGGCTTGTGGCCTAGGCAAAAGCAATTGCATTCACTATGCTTAAAAACGAATGAATGTATTCAAGTCTTGATAAAAACGAAATTGCCTATATGACTGGTAAGTCAGCATGTACACTGTTACAATTCCGGTTCAGGTACCAAAAGGTTGCCAGTTTTCCTCCCAAACAAATTACATATGCTGAAAAAACACATGATGTTAATATGTTTCTGTTTCAGCAGATTGTTCATTTTTACACATTGTGAATGAATGGTGCTGTTGTCAATATATCGCTTTTTAAAATCAACATGCATACATTTGATGTAAATGTGTGGTAACTTTTGGCAGTTTTAAAACAACATATCTTGCACTAGGTCAACAATCACCCATACAATGTGTTGTATTACAGGTACTTCTTCAGTGGCGTCCCTGCAGAGCATGGTAAATATCCAATAATGTTCTACCTACATTTGTGGTGAGAGAAAAACATTGTTAAACAATCAGCATTTCTAACCCAAAATGAATGGTGTTGGACTGGTTACCATTATAGATTTGGCTTCCTTGTATAGGCTTGTCACCTCAACAATGTATAGATGAAGCAGATGTCCAATTTTACAATGGAGCACAGTTTACTTAAGAATACAAAAAAAATGCTTCATCCGAAAAAGCTTTCCAGCGCGCTTCCCTTTACTGGCAGGAGTACTCTGTATTTCCACTGTTGAAATGCATTTGTTAAAACTCTTAACGATGTAGATTTATTCTTTGCACCAGTAAAATGTGGTATGACAGCAATCCAAATAGATGTATTTATAGTTATTCCTTCTGAGATATTTGGATGATGCCGTGCTCTTTTTAAAAAGACAGATTTTCCAAGCCCATTTATTGTGGATGGGCTTGATGTTATTAGGCTGTTAACGCAAAGTAAGAAGATAACATTAGTGTTTTTTTGTATTTGTGTCTTATCCCTTAAACCAGTGGAACACGATGGAAGAATACATGGGAGCCCATCTCAAGCCTTGAATCAGCAACTGAGGTAAATGAATATCTTGAATAATAAGCCCTCTAGCAATAGGGAAAGTCAGTATTCTGTGTTTAGGGAGCCAGCGGATTCGGAGACAGATCAAATATATTAAAGTGTCAAAAGTGTCTCTAAAGTTTGTGATGTCAACGTTTTCAGATCTAATATCTGAACATATAGGTAACATTTTTGGTCAACAAAAATCTGAATGTGTTACCCTGTCTAAATACTATTGAACTACTACTTTTGCAAATAGGCCTACCTATCAACATTTAGTATGTGGTAAAGAAGGATGAAAAAGAAGGCAAAACAACAAAAATTCCTCTCATGTCACAGAACATGATGAAAGCCAGACTATTCAGATGCATAACTTTGTATAAATAAATTATCCCATAGTAATTTAGCTGTTCATGAAAAAAGTACTTAAAATACCTTTGCAATGTTGACATAATATACATAATATTACCTACAGTACCCAGTGATTATATCTCCAAGTATCTCAAACCAAGGCAGACATACAAGTCAATTGGATTACATTAATCATTCCTCTGACTTCTTGAATAGTGATGAAATGCTGACAAATGTTTTTGAATATTTAACACCATATAGAATGCTTAAGTGTCTGTTTTTGTTGTTCCACAGATACATCCATGATGAGCCCTTTTGAACACCACCCCTCGTCCAAGACCTTTTCGGTTATTCTGTATTCATGTTTTATATTTTCCATTTATTTGAATAAATGACTGAATAAAAGCACACTGTTTGATTATGTATTTGTTTTTATCTTCTGTCAGAATAAGTATTGCTATTGTTTTACATAGTATATCCTTTAACAGCCAGAATTATTTCTCGAAAATGGTGAAGGTTTGTTTAAGAGAAGGCTGTTCCTTTAATGAGAGTTCACATTTATGCTACATTGAAGGGTGGAATTGACTACACATCTTCAGAAACATAATTTGCTTCAGATATAACTCACAGCAATATGTTAACCATTAAAAAAAGCCAACTGCATTAGTTAACAAACACTAGGTAAAGTATTTTCCTTCAGTAATGAAGATGTAATTCCAATGTAGACACACCTGGGATCGCTGTTCAGACTGTTAGGCTGAGCCATGCATTGTCTGGACCGTAAAAGTGACGAAGAAGACAAAGTGAAGTGACGTACTTCCGGTTGAAAATGAAAAATATTCCCAGTGCAAAATCAAATCGCTAAATAAAAAGATAAAACACTGGCATGTAATTTACGTTAGAATACATTTAATGGTTTTGAATAAGCCACAGTGCCTTAATGTACCAGCGAAAGAGGCTGTTTGGATGATAACAATTTAAAAGTGTGTAGTTATGACATGAAACGACTACAAACAATATGGTGGTTATTTACCCATTAAGCAGCATAATAACGGATTTGGTAAACTGAACAGTGAGCCGCCAGCCCGAAAATAAGTTTGCTCCAAAATGATATTAACAAATTACTATTATCATTATTATAAGCAAGACAATAAATGGCAAATATATAGAACATAAACGTATTTGAGATACGTTCATAACAAACGTTACTGAGAGAAAATAGGTTTCTAGAAGATATATAGAACTTGAACGTTTTTGAGATACGTTCAAAACAAACCTAACGTGGGAGAAAATACATTTCTTCCTAAACGTAATTGAGAATGCAGCATGAAACGTAACAGTGAGCCGCCAGCCCGAAAATAAGTTTGCTCTAAAATGATATTAATACATTTCTATTATCATTATTATAAACAAGACAATAAATGGCAAAGATATGTAGAAAACAAACGTATTTAAGATACGTTCATAAAAAACGTAACGTGGGAGAAAATATGTTTCTTGCTAAACGTATTTGAGAATGCTGTTTAGTTATGTGGGAACGTAATTTTTAGGAGACAGGGTTGAACACAAAGTGTTTGACCAAACGTTCCCTCTCAAGTTAGAACTGAGGTCAGATGAGCAGTCTCAGAGCCCGATATGATCAGTCCACCAGGATCCTGACCCATTTATTCACTGCCCAACAACATGCTAATGAATGTTCCCTCAGAGTGGCTTGGATTTTGGGTCAAAACAAAAACCATTTACTGATGGAGAGGTTGTCAAGGAGTGTATGAGTGCAGTAGCTCAAACGTTGCTTGAGGGAAAACAAAAAGAAGAGCTTTGTGAAAACATTAAGCAAATACCTTTGTCAGCATCATCAGCCACAAAGAGGAGTGAAGTATTGCCCAGCTGGATGAAGCCCTTCATAAGGCACCCTGTGTACGCTTAACTGTAGATGAGTCCACTGAGGTTTCTGACTGAGCTGTTCACTTACGTAAGGTTCTTCAACAAAGACAAGAAAGTGTTCTGTGAAGACATGTCAGGTGTAACTCCCCTTCAGACCAGAACAAGAGGAGAGGACCTGGCCATGAAGGAGATGTTAACGAAGCGAGGGATAGAGCCAAAACAAGTGGTTTCAATAACCACAGATGGAGCCATGATAGGGAGAGAGAAAGGAGCTGTGTCAAGAATGAAAGAGGATCATCCTGAGCTCATCTCTTCCATTGCATCATCCATCCATCTGTCCTGCTCCTCCTGGTCAGATGAGCATGCTGAGGTGATGAACACAATGATGGAAATGATACATGTTCTCAGGTCGTCCTCTTCCTATCAGCATCGCATGCTCAGGGAACTCCTCAGAGAACTTGGTGATCTTTTGCTGCACAACAATGTGAGATGGCTCAGCACAGGCAGGGCGTTGTAGCGCTTTTGGTCCATCAGAAGCAGCTTCTTGGCAGAGATGGGAAGTCAGAAGGCAACACAGTTTTCTCTTTTTAGAAGATGAGAAAAATATGGATAATGTGGCCTTTTTGGTTGACATCACTTCGCATCTGAATGAACTGAATTTGAAGCTACAGGGAAAGGACCATTCCATTTGTGAGCTGTCCGCTCCTTTCAGAGGAAACTTAAAGTGTTCAAGGAAGATCTGCAGGGAGACTGTGCACACTTCCCAGCAGTGCAGGAACAGGTTCAGGGACAGAGACATGTGTCGATAAGCTGATTGTGAACTTCATTTCAAACCTTTATTTACCCAGGTGTATCCCATTGAGATCATTGATCTCTTTTTCAAGGGAGACCTGAAAAGCAAACCAGCAAACGTTTTGACAGCTTCAGCTTTGGACGGCAGCTCACCACGTTCATTCAGAACCCATTTCTTATCACAGATGTCAGGGAGTTCTCAAAGGAAGTCACACAGCACTTCAAGTGGGCAAATGCTGGGCCTCTCCAGATGCAACTGGTTGATCTCCAAGCAGACGTGGCCCTGAAAGAGCAATTTGGAAGAACTGACCCTGCCACTTTCTCTGAGACAGCTTTCCCAGGTCTGAGGAAAGTAGCTCTATATATATTCACCATGTTTGGCTCCACATACAGCTGCGTGGCAGCTTTCTCCACAATGAACATTATTAAAACTAAATATCGTTCCAGGCTAACCAATGAGAACCTGCATGTGTGTATGAGAATGGCTCTGACACCATGTCGAGATCTACCGTGGATCAAGGGCCTTCACCACTGCCATCCCCACCAAGGACTAGCGAACCAGCATCACGACAGCTGCCTGCGACGAGGTCAAGATACACCTCAGCTCCACCACAGCCACAGCCATCACCATCAACCCGGACAGCAAAGAGATCTCGTAGAGCACACGTACCTCCCACACAGCCACCAGCAGCCCATGCACCATCACCCCCACCTGCACAGCAGCCAGCTCCACTGTCTTGGAAGACAGGCGAATACCCTGACACTGCTCCCCCTGTCTCCAGGTTTCAACCTGCTCGCACACCCGGGCCACAGCTCAGCTCAACAGTATCAAACAAACCCCTTGACCTGTTCAAGCTCTTCTTCAGTGCACTAACAGTACAGACACTCTGTACCAACACAAACAAGCGGGCTGCACAGCAGATGGGAAAGGGAAAAACCTACAAATGGACTGACTTGACTGTAGAGGATTTCTATAAATACATGGGGCTGCTGAAACTGGACAATGTATTGAACTACTGGAGGAAGGATCATTTTGTGTCAGTGCCTCTGCCAGCACAGGTCATGTCACGTGACATACAGGACAATATCCTGGAACTTGCATCTCAGCGACCCTGATGAGGATTTCCAGAACGACAGCAAAAAGGGCACACCCCACCATGACCGACTGTTCAGATTGAGACCCCTCATGGACACCACCAAGACTGCGTGTAAGGCCTTTTACCATCCCCATAAATACCTGGCTGTGGATGAGAGGATGGTTGCCTCCAAGGCTAAGACTGGAATGACCCAGTACATGAAGGCCAAACCAACCAAGTGGGGATTCAAGTTGTTCGTCATAGCTGATTCGAGGAATGGCTACACAAGACTTTTCTGTTTGCACTGGTAAAAGCGACATCCTCTCTGTATTATAATAAATTGTTGGTTGAAAAAAAAAAGTTCTAATGCTCAATTCTTTTTTTTGTACACATCACATGAACCTTGTTATGTAATATGAAGTCATTATTCAGTCCTGATGTATCTCAGTCCCTGCTGTGGTGAAAGTAGAGTGATTGACAGCTGTTTTACTCTGTTTTAATTTTAGACATGAATAACACATTTATATACAGTGTAATTCAAATATTTCACTGCTTTTGTGATCCTAGGACTTTGGTAACCAAATCTAAAACACCAAAACAATTCGATCACATGAGTACATTTGTGTTTTCACAAGAGTTTTGAAGATTTTCCGAAAATCGGATGTCAAAGTTTAAGCTTTTGAGCTACTTATCTCATCAAACAGTGCTCTAAGGTGAGTCATTTGCATATATAGCAATACTAGAGATTATCCTGAACATTTTGATATGTAACACATGGGGTGCCATGTTAGAAGAAATACATTTAAAAGGTGATTAAAGAAAACATCGATGTTGATAACGATGATAAGATTGCTGAGTATGTACGCAAAGGCCTACAATAACAAGCAAGACTATATTGTCCAAAAGGAGCTATGCCTATTTTACAATACATTTTCCCTCTTGGGATTTTTTTGCATATACAGGCAAACAATGACAAGATCAGTGAATGTAATTTTTTCAATGAACAGGCAAAACCAACTGACAACAGATGGAGCAAAGGTAAGGGCTATGCTTGCATGTGAAAAAGTGCAGTTGGCTGTTGTCGCAGGGACTGATGCGAGGTCTGCATCAGTTTCTGACCATACTATATCTGTAGCGGCTGCGATCAAGCATTTGATTGCGCCTGTGTGCATAAAATTAATGTACACCCAAATAACTTGGAGGTTGGTTGAGCAGACCAGTGTGTTTGGACGTAAGTGGAACTTCAATATGGGTCTGCCGGTGTACGGCGAATGTAATTTGTCTGAAGGGGATAAGGTATTGTCGGGGAAGCTGCTTGAACACTTATCCAGGGATGGCATGTGTCTGTTAAACCTAAATTCCACAGCCAGTGCAATTATTAAATACAATGACTGTATTGTGGTCGTTGATTGTGGCACACGTGGTGCGTCTGGGTTAGCATCCAGTGTTGGCACATCTGTAGCCGTGTTCAACACATGCCCTAATGACCTGATGCTTCACATCAGGAGTCTCAAGAATTCATTGAAAACAGAGGTTTTGCATAACAAGCCTTTCTGTGAAAGCAGCTCAAGTTAATTCGGAGACAGCTAGAGTCATTT